AAACATTAAAAAAAATTTTTTTTTTAAATAAAAATAAAAAAAAATATTTTCTAAATAAACAGTAAAATATGCACAAAGGCCAGAGGATGAAACAAAATACCAGGGTTTAGACATTTGAAATAGGAATTTGGTTGATTTTTTTCTCTTAACAAGTGTTCTCCATTTTTCAAAATTGTCTTTACAAATACAGCCTTAATGTCTTTTTAAACATAATTTAAACATAATGTAACTTTTGCTTGAGTCGGAGGTTATACTCTATAAATAAAGAATAGGTCACAGGCACCTGCTGAAGCATTTAGTTTTGCTTCTCCCCAAAGCATCAGGATCTCCCTGCAGCCCCAGGTCAATGGTCTGTGGCCCAGCTCTTACCTGACAGCACCTCTTCTCTGAGCCTTGACATACAAGGAGAGAACAGAGCAGAAATGCAACATGTTGGTGTCAGGTTAGGAGGCCTGTGCACTGACTGGGTCGAGGGCTTGTAGCTTAGCAAGCTCTCCCCGCCACAACTAAGGGCAAGGGCTACAACACGGCGCTGACAGCTCCAGCTCTGAAGAGCTCATATCAGTCAGTGCGCCTGACCCCATTTTGACTTGGTGCCCTCAGACTGATAACTGGGCTCCTCCCCTGGGCCCTGGACTGAATGCCAGGCTCTTAGCCCCTGGCTGTGGCCGGCACTCAGTTCTTCCAAGAGCAGGTGTTGCAGCTGCTTAGAGTCCAAAGCACTAGTACTACCTGGGAGACTGTGTGAAACGCAGAATCTCATGCCTCACCCCCTGGGCCTACTGAATCAGAATAGATGCATGAACAAGATCCCCAGCTGACCTGCATGCATATTAAGTTTGAAAAGCACTGTTCCAAATGATAGACAAGCACCAACCACATAATATCAGAGTAATGACCTTCCTGAGGTTGATCTCCAGAGCAATGGAGCTTCTTTACTAAACTCCTGTCTAGCCTGCTCTATTCCATCTCTATCACCAGAGATGAGTTTGCCCAAACCCAGTCTGATCATGCTTAAAATTCTAGAACAGCTTCTACAGGCAGCTTCCACCTAGCTTGCCAGCCTCGTCTACTGCAAACCTTCACCTCGTACGCTATGCTCCAGCCATAGGAAACTGTGTGTGGTTCCTGGAAAATAGCAGTTCCTAAAGATTACATTTTCCTTAATGCTCATTTCCCAACACATTAATTTATCTCAAACAGCATCAGAGTGAATACATAAGGGGACTGAGGGATGGAAGAAACTTTTTTCTTTCCCTTTTTTTTTTCCATCTGTATGTATTGATTTTGCAATTTTTAAAAAAAATTTTTTTTTTCAACGTTTATTTATTTTTGGGACAGAGAGAGACAGAGCATGAACGGGGGAGGGGCAGAGAGAGAGGGAGACACAGAATCGGAAACAGGCTCCAGGCTCTGAGCCATCAGCCCAGAGCCTGACGCGGGGCTCGAACTCCCGGACCACGAGATCGTGACCTGGCTGAAGTCGGACGCTTAACCGACTGCGCCACCCAGGCGCCCCTAATTTTGCAATTTAAAAAAACAAGTAGGTTCTGTCACTGGAGACACAACAAGCCCTCTTACTGCTACCTTATCAAAGAGAATATAACTGACTTCAAAGTATTAATGTGCCTTCAAAACTATTCCATAGATACTGTAGTAAACTTGCTGAATAATTCAACAATAACATCATCAAAAAGCAAAGCCAAACACTTCCTTCATAGTTTTCTAAACATCATTAAAGACATTTTTTTTTTCTTTTACCATGTAAACATTTTGGATTTTCAGAATTAGCCTTAAATTCTGAACTGTGAGACTAAAAGTTTAAACATAAAAGTCTGTAGTAGTAAATGACATCTTTAGTCTGGTTTATCCATGTGATGCTTCACAAGCCACTAGAGTCTACTCATTAATTCACCCAACACATACCCTGCCGCACTGAAGGCACTGGGCTCTGTAGGAGTGGTTATTTACGCCTTTGCCAAGCCAATATTCACTAAACAATGGATTTAATTAAGACCTATCATTACCATTCTACTCCTAGGTAGTATATGCATATACATATATGAAGATTTTTAAAAACTTTTATATTATTTTTTTTAAGTTTATTTTTGAGAGAGAGAGAGAGAGAGAGAGAGAGAGCGCATGAGCGGAGAAGGGGCAGAGAAAGAGAGGGAGACACGGAATCTGAAGCAGGCTCCAGGCTCCAAGCTGTCACCACAGAGCCCAATGCAGGGCTCTAATTCACAAACTGTGCAATCATGACCTGAGCCTAAGTCAGACACTTAACCTACTGAGGCACCCAGGTGACCCAAAACTTTTTTAAAAAGTAATCTCTACACCAACATGGGACTTAAACTCATGACCCTAAGATCAAGAGTCACATACTCTACTGACATTCAGCTAGCCAGCCACCCCCATATATGTACATTTTAATCCACTTAAATCTTCATGCTGCAACTGTACTTTTCAAAACCATTGATTTTTATTTTAACTTAGAAAATTATATAACCACAGCCCAAATGAAAAAAAATAAAATCTTATTTTAACATCAATTATTTTACATCAATTCTTTTCCATTCTTATATAGGATATTTAGATACGACACCTTCAATTCATTGACTAAAATGACTCAAATAAAACTTCTATCTTTTAAAAATATAGTTGCTACAGCATTTAAAAGGAGAAGAAAAATAATTGATAAGCTCAATCCTAAAAAGATTAAGTACACAGAAGAAAAAGTAAAACCTAACATAGTCAAAGTTGGGGCTCCTGGCTGGCTCAGTCGGTGAAGGATGTGACTTTTGATGTTGGGGTTGTGAGTTCAAGGCCCACACTGGGTGTAGAGATTACTTAAAAATAGTTAAAGTGGATCAGATCTCAGCTTTAACTTTAGATACTGTTTCCAGTTCCTAAACTGAATGTAAGGACCTTGCTAATTTCTCTCAATGCCCTCCAAAATCTAACAGTAAAACAGAAAAGGGAATTAACGGTCAGGTTTTAAGATGCAGAGATTTATTTCCATTCATACTTTGAAAATTTTGTTTCTTTAAATTTAAACTAGATAAAAAACTCTTGTATTTTCACATTTTAGATATTAAAAAAAAATACTACCATACCTGCTCAGTAGGAAAAGAAATTACTATTTTCACAAGTAGATTTAAAACCAAGACAAGTAAACTTATAAGGAAGATGGAAAGTGTGGACCAATTCCTGTATATAAAGTAGATACTCTTTTATGTATAATCCTTACCTCAGATGGTAGAAAGAAGAGAAATGTGAAACTAATAACCAATACACCTGACGACCACAGGCACACTTCATTTCAAATCTTACAAGAATGTACCAGAACCACTTAACAAGGTACCTGAATAAATGAAGCGCAGAATGTCCGATAAACAAGAACAGAAGAGGGCGTCTTTAACGATGACACGTAATGGTGGGTTGCCTGGAGAATCCTGGCTAGCACCTGGAAATGCAGTATCTCTGTTTATGGCAAAGAGGTCCTGGGTGGTACGGATGATACTGGAATCCTGAATGTCAGCGGGACTCTTCACATTGAAAAGCAGCATGAAAACATGGCTTACGGCACAGAGAACAATCTTGTGGGCCTCGGCAACTTCCTTTAAATCTGGGTTGTAAAATACCACGTCCACACACTGGCAGCAGAACAGCAAATTATTTAAATCAGAGTTATAATGCGATGCTTCAGCCTTTAAGACAGGCATTTTTTCTATTTCAAAAAAGAAAACAAATATGATAAATTATTCTTTAGGTCTATAGACCCAAACATCTCAGGTTCCTTTTAAACACAACAAAAGAATTCTTTTAATATTATTAAGTTGAACCATATGAAATTGCCAACATATGGCCATTTTTGACCTATGAAAACAGCAATTGTATTTAACTTAACCTAATTATAAATATATATAAATTAATTATTCTGAGTTAATAGTCACAGAAATATCGTAATTTTTATAGTGCAAGTGAAAATTGTACTAAATGCCATAAACAGCAATAAAATAGTACTTCTCACTATTTGCGTGTCCCCAAATAAGCTATTTCAACAAATACTGAATTTTAGTATGTTGGTAGTTAATCTTTACTTTATCCAAATAAAAAATTCAAACAAATTTCTGAGTAAGTTCTGAAGAACCTAACCCACATTTAAAGTCATTTTCCTCTCATGGTTGGAAATGGAAGGGAAGGAAATTGTTCAACTTAAAATGTCAACCTCTCAAGGCCAAAGCTCAGAGTCTTAGACTCCATTGTCTGAAACCATCTTGACCATTTTATTTTGATCCTAAAATTAAGTATTTTTTTCTTCCTGGTAAAACAAGAACCAGCTTTTTCCTCTCAGCACACCTGAGGTAAAGTGCTGGCTAGACTTCCCAATTTCCAAAAAAAAAGGATGTAATCTTCCATTTCCTAGTCTGATCACTAACAAAGATTAGCCCTCAGTCAATTCAGAATACCCCTACAGAGGATCACACCCTAGGCCCTCATCACAGACTCAAACTATAGAATGTCTGCTGTCTAGCTTTTATCCAAAGCTGAGCCAAGGGAAGTGTTATCTGGAAAGTGTTGCCTGAAGGATATGCAGTCTTCTCAATGAGAATTTAAACTTCTTTAGTAATGAAAACTTTTTCCTCTAAAGCAAAGCTCCAGTCTATAAAACAGATAATAACAAGGTAATTTGGTGGCTAGGCTCTTCCTGAACTATACCCCACTCATCCTTCTCTCCACTGCCTAAGGCACCTTCACAGACCTTTCGTGGCTAAGAGCAATCTGAAAGCCACTTGCCCCAGAGCCCAGGATCAATCCTTAGAACAAGTCAGCATCAGAAGGAATGCTCAGGGTGATACCTAACAGAAGGGCACAGGGACAGCTGAGGCTGCATTTACAGACACTTCTGAAGGCCCTGTCTACTAGGTCACCTACTGCCCCCAGCACTGCCCCCAGCGGAGACCCACATGAGAAATTTCTTTTATTGCTAAATGGCATGAAATGCTTTGCTTTCTCAGAGGAACTTTGCTTTTCTCAGAGGATCTGCTTTGAATAATAAGAATGAAGAAATCATCTATCTATCTACATTGTTTATTTGGCTATTCCCCACCCAACTTCTCATCCGGAAAGTATTTAAAGCAGCAAGCTTGCTACATAACAATGTCTCCTCTCACTTTGCACACCAGGAAGTTCAAAGCAAATGTGTATCACTCATGATTTATATATCTGTATGTGTGTAAAAACCCAGAATTGACTTCCCGTACTAATTTATTATTTTCTTGATTTTTAATTTATATTGATTTATTTAACAAATACTTATCAAGTACCTGCTTTTTAAAACAATATCCATAACAAATTGATCTCACAGAGTACTATTATTTTATTTCTATCACAAAATTAGGCAAAAAATTTGGGGCATCTGGGTGGCTCAGTCAGTTAAGCATCTGACTCTTGATTTCGGCTGAGGTCATGGTCTCACAGTTTGTGACTTTGAGCCCCACACTGAGTTCTGCACTGACAGTGGGGAGCCTGACTGGGATTCTCTCTCTCTACCTCTCACTCTCTCTCTGCCCCCCGCCCCTGCCCCTGCTTGGTGCTCATGCACACTCTCATGCCCATGATCTCTCTCTCTCTCAATATAAATAAATAAACATTAAAAACAATAGGCAAAAATTTTAATAAAACTTAATTTTGATAAAAATTGTGTTTATTTATTTTTAACTGTATTTTCCTCTAACCTTGTGTTATTAACACTTTCAGACATTCAAAAAAAGTTGAAAGAATGATACATAAGCACACGCATGTCCTTCACTTAGAATCTGCAATTATTGATATTTTGTCATGTTTGGGGTGCCTGGGTGGCTCAGTCAGTTAAGCCTCTGACTCTTGGTTTTGATTCAGGTCATGATCTCACAGTTTTGTGAGTCCAAGCCCCGCATCAGGCTCTGCGCTGGCAGCATGGAGCCTGCTTGGGATTCTCTCTCCTTTCTCTACCCCTTTCCTGCTTGCGCTCTCTCTCAAATAAATAAACTTAAGGGAAAACATTTTTTGTCATGTTTGCCTTATCTCTAGATAGGCACACACTTACACATTCCTATTGCTGAACCACTTAAGAGTAAGTCGTGATCATCAGGATACTCCAGCTCTAAATACTCTCATATTCATTTCCAAAAAATAAGGACATTCTTCCATTAATCACAGAACCATTACCATACATATGAAAATTAACAATAATTCCATCATGTCATATAATTTCTAGTCCATATTAAAATTTTACCCAACTGTCCTAAGAGTCTTTTAGAGGTTTCTATTGAACTAGTATCCAATCAAGGTTCACACACTGCATTTGGTTGTTATTTCTCTTAGATTTTTTTTTTAAATTTTAATGTTTATTTACTTTTGATAGAGCACAAGCAGTGGAAGGACAGAGAGAGAGAGAGAGAGAGAGAGAGAGAGGAAGAGAGAGACACAGAATCTGAAGCAGGCTCCAGGCTCTGAGATGTCAGCGCAGAGCCCGACGTGGGGTTCAAACCCACAAACTGAGAGATCATGACCTGAGCTGAAGTCAGACAGTTAACCAACTGAGCCACCCAGGCGCCCCTCTTAGATTTTAATCTAGAACAGCTCTTCACCACATACATTATTTTTTAAAGAATCTACAGATTCAAGTTAAAGACTATTCCTCAAAATGTGGTCCAAGTGCCACCTGTTTCAGAATCACCTGGAAACTTATTTTAAAAGCAGATTCCAGGCCCCATCCCAGGTTTACTGAATAAGAATACCAGGTGAGTCATCAACATACTCAAATTTGGCAACAGTTGCTCTAAGACTTGTGAAGTGATCGATAATCAGTATCAATCGAATGTGCAGACATTGGTTAGTAAATGCACCTGGTTGTTCAAGCTGAGGTGGTCTAACTCCATGAAACGAGTTGCTCATTTTCCTTTTCTTCATTTTTTCACTTGTCTTCTGATTTAAGGCTTGAATCATAAAATACTCCAACTAAAACATGAATCAAATTTTAAGTAAAGCGTCAACAAAATTACGTATCTGACATGATTATTTGTACCCCAAATCACATTTGCCAAATGTTCAAATGCTGGTACCATCTACAAGTACGCTGTAGCAAACACTTATAAACAAGTTTTTTATTTAAAGACAAAAAATGTATCAAGTAGAACAGACTGTGCCTTGTCTAAGCATAAATAAACTACCCATTCAAGAAGGAACTGTTCATTCTCTTGAATAATCAAGAAAGCCCAGCAGTACAACTGTGGGACTGTCAATAACTGTCTCGTGGGCAACCACAGCAGTTAATACTAGAGACATTCAAAGCAGGGCAGATCTGGCTCTATGTCACAGATGCTCATATCAGCTAGGGATGTTTTCATATGTTCTATTCTTTTCTTGAATAAATTACTTTGAAATACATCCTTTATATGGGAAATTACAAATCCTAAGCATATACACACGCACAGCTCCAGGCCTATGCCTTGACACTGTGAGACTTGGGGCAAAAATACAAACAGAGATCCATGTACCACATACACAAATATTTAAACGTCATAAGTAAAGAACTATTACGTAGAAAATATTCTATCCTACTTTGACAGAAGTATCATCATAAAAGCCGAGAAGGCCAGGTTTAGATTTAAATTCTCAGACGACTCAGAGCTTCATGTAGCACAAGGCACTGTCCTGTAACTCCTGGGCCCGGAGGCTGTCCTTTCTTCTTACCCACTGCTCCATCCTTGGAGCATCCTTACCCACTGCACAGGCCTTGGAAACAGACTGAGTGCACTGCTAAGAGAATTCTGGGGTCCTCGGTTTTGGAACATGGTCACAACACTGTATAACAGAACCTTCTGCTCTGTGTTGATGGAAATGCTCTGTAATATCTGTGTTATTCAACAGAGTAGCCACTAGCCACATGTAGCTACTGAGGACCTGAAATGTGGACGGTATACCTGAGGAACTTAATTTTCTTTAATTAATTTAAATATAAATAGCCACATGTGGCTAGTGGCTACCATATTGGATGGTGCAGGTCTAAAAGGGGCTACTAGCTGCAGGTGGGCAAATGCGCTTGGCTCCATCATCTCATGCCATATGTGGGAGCAGGGATGGGGTGCAACTGGAGGAGGGTCAGATGGGGCTCCCTAAAGCTCAAGGGCATGTACTCTTCTTCCCAGGTTTTCATCCTCAACTCTCAAACACAAGAGTTTTTCTTTTTTTTTTTCTTTTTTAATATAATTTATTATCAAGTTAGCTAACATATAGTGTATACAGTGTGCTCTTGGTTTTGGAGGTAGATTCCCGTCATTCATCGCTTACATACAACACACAGTGCTCATCCCAACAAGTGCCCTCCTCAATGCCCATCACCCACTTACCCCTCCTTCCTGCCCCCCCCATCAACCCTCAGTTTGTTCTCTGTATTTAAGAGTCTTTTATGGTTTGCTTCCCTCTCTGTTTGAAAGTATTTTTTCAAACACAAGATTTCACTCTGACATTATCATCTCCATCTATATTCCTGCAAATGCCACTATTTCTTACACTCAAGATCGCAGCTATACTTCACTACTCAAGAATCTGAAAAGGGTCACTCTGATCTTATTTCCATATTCTCACTAAGTCTTAGGGAAAAAATAAACTGTCATGTCTTTTCTCCCAACCTTGACCACATCTTCAATCCTTATCATGCCTCCAACCCTAATTGCAACACTAGGTGTTAGGAACAAAGACAAACAAGGAGGAGGAAGAGAAAGAGAGCAGAGAACATGGGAGGTGGCAGGTGGGAAGTATGACCATGAGAATTTCAGGTTCGGGAGATGGAGCAGAACACAAGGAGACCTACATACCCCAAGAGAACCAGGCCCCCCCTCTCCAACAAAAGAAACCAAACTATCATTTTCCCCCAGTTTCCTAGGTATTTCAGGGAAATACAAGATTCTTAGACTAAGACTTTTTTTAATCCACTACAATATTAGATTTGAGTCCTGTCTATCTTTCTAACCCTTTCTACTTTTTATTTGTCACTGTAAATAAATTTAAAAAGTTTCTCACAGTCATTGATAATATCAATATTATGAGTATATCTTTCTTAATGCAGCTATATTATTGTTTCTCTACATTACTGAGTTAAAAATAGCCACTTACACGTGATAGAAATGAGGACCATTTATATTTGGTTCCAAGTTTAACATTGGTTGTTATTTGGAGTTTAGTAACTTCACAACAAATGAAATTTCTACAGTCATCTGTGGAGACCTCAACATTTGGACACAAATCTACATAATGAATAATCCGGCATACTGGAAAGAGTACTTGATGAAGAGCTGGAGAACTAACAGAGAAGTCTAAAGTGCTTCTGCTCAATGAAGGGTTTACACTGGTTTAAACCTCTTATCCGTGTTTACCAAACTTGTCTGCTGAAAGGAGTCACCTGTTGGGGAGTTGAAATGATAGTTTCAAAGGCAGTTTTAAATGGCATGACTCCACAGTATTCTCCAAGCACCATGCAGTCCTAATATTGTAGGGTAGATTCTGTGGGCTAAGAAGGGCCTCCAAATGCCTGCAAGACCCAACAAATGCCATTGCAACAGAGCAAACAAATCCCAACTTCTCACATATCCAACAACAAGCTATTTGTAGAAGTAGTTTCTATGGATATTTTTGAGCTGCATCACTTAGGAGTATATGAAATATTGCCGAAGCACACACAGAGGAAGAAAAATCATTCTTTTCAAATAGTAGATAGAAATAAAAACCTTTCAGAGCCCAATGATCAGGTTATGAGGCTCACTGAACTGTGTGAAGATTACTAATAAAATTGACGTAACAGGCTTGTGTGAGTAAACATGCTTTTGATATATACAACAAAAATCAATAAAGTGTCACCAAGTGGAAAATTCCAAAATATTTTATTAGATGATAGAAAATGTTTAATTTGGAGAGAAAAATAAAATTGTAATTTGACTCTGACAAAACCTTTCTTCTACTCTCATTTTATTTCTCGAAGTTAAAAACCAATCATGTTTTTAAAACTAAAGTTCTAACTGAGGTTCTAGAAAATACCTTCCCAGCCAACCTGACAAAGGACCTTAATTTACATAACAGGGATTACCACTTACCACTCCTCCAAAATACTTTCCTATGTAGAAGTCATCAAGGCTGTGTAGTTCAAGATAGGTGGCTCCTAGTTCTTTAGCAAGTTGGATCCCTTCGGTTGTACTGACACAGCTCCCTCTGTCTGAGGTACACAGTGGGCATGTACAAGGTAATTCTTCTGAGAAAATAAATACAAGTAACAGAGCTTTGAAATTAAATAGGAAAAAATATACATAGACAATGTGAACATTAAACAACAAAGTAAGAGCTCATACGAGAACCACAGTTCAGGGACAGTTAGTACACCCACCATCTATCCACTAGATTCTGAATAAAAAGCATCAATGTTAATACAAAGCTCCCCAAAGTAAACAAGCTTTAAGTGCAAGAAGAAGAAACCATATTTTAGAAAAGAATTTAAAAATAAGTGAATATACATTACCAAGGCTATTATAGTAATTAAGCCAATCAGCTAGTAATGGAGGACATGTTTCCTTTTATACAATCCTAACATCCTGAGTATCAGTACAAATTTAACAATTTAATTGCCATGGGTTGGGTCTTTGTTCTTTTCTTTCTTTCTTTTTTTTTCTTTTTTTTTTTTTTTTTTTTTTTTTTTTTTTTTTTTTTTTTTTTTTTTGGTGATAAACTTGAAATATATTCACCAAGTTGACTAGATCTGAATCTTCAAGGCTACAAAACTGCCACTCTCTTTGGAGATTTCACATAAAGTACATTCTTATTAATCCAAACATCTTAATTATTAGACTCTAAAGTATTCAACTACAAAGACCAAATTCAATCACTTATCTTTCTCTTCAAGATTAAAAAGTCATAAACTAAAAGAATAAAAACGTTTTTATTAAGAATGTGAACTATCCCAAGAGTCATGGTTGTACCATGTACAGATCTATGACTGGGAAGGGGGTAGATCAAGCATCTATAAGAATACTTCTTAGTAAAGCTAAAAATGTATGTTCATCTGTGAATTCATAAGCTAGCTTTGTTTTGTTTCATGACACATCAGATATGTCATTGTATAAAAGACAGCCAAGTCAAAGGGGGATAAATCCATTTCTAGAAATGCATTTTGTTATAGATTAGCTTCCCTAGAGAATCAGACTCTGAGATGGAGACTGGTGTGCAGGAGGTTTATTGGGGAGGGAGGTGCTCTTGGGAGCAAACGGTTTCAGGGGTGAGGGAAATGGGGCTGGGCAGAGAAAAAATTTGAACTGCAATATAGCTACAACAAAGATCTCAGCAGATCCTACTGGGAAGTCTGGAGCTCAGATGGCCCTTTAGAATGAATGGTTCCTCATTTGGGGGAAAGAGAACTGGGCCTTTGTGTCCCTGTATCAAATAAGATAATGAATAATTAGATGAGGGCTGCCATGGGTGAGGCAGAACCTTGGGTAGGCAGCTTCTACCAGCACAAGGTAATTCCCAGTCCCTAGGAGGAGATTCAGCTGTGAATCAGCAGCCAGCAGTTCAGTACCTGAGGGAGGAAGGATGGTGGCCCTCAAAGGGCATTTGGGCAACTTACCACAGCATACACAGCAAAGTCCTTACCAAGCACCTGCATACAGATAGAGCATGTATATATACATATGGAGTATACTCTAAGGAGGTTTAGTGCATGTGCCTGCTATGTACTTAACTATGTAATAATTTCAGCTTCACTGAAAGCATTTTAGAGCTCAGAGACCAGGAATTTACATCCTCCTTCAGGAGAGGAGGAAAGTGAGGGTCAGGGAAGATGAGTGCCCTGGACAAGTCTCCTGGTGTGTCAGAAATGGAAAACAATGATACAACTGTTATTTGCTCTATCTGGTAAGTAAAGTGAAACAAAAGATAGGATAAAAATTTAGTCTGAGTGAAGAATTACTGAGTAAAGATACAGTGATTTAAAAGTTAAGTGTGGGTTCTCAAAATTAAGCCATGATTTCTGAATTTTCGCTTTACTTTTAGTAAAAGATCATTTTAGTTCTGGAGCACATAAAGTTTTTATACAGAATTTAGCCTATCTTGAAAAATAACACAATGGTATTTCACATTCTTTACAAAGATTGATAAACAGTGCCTTTGATTTTCTGAAGACAGAAGCCTTCTTATGTCTACAAAGCTCTCCTTATGTTGATGGAATGGGGTGAGTAGGCAGACCATCTTATTAAACTGTATTTCTGAACAAAAATAAAGCCAAGTGCTTCAAGTGGAAAATTAAGTGAATGTAATGTAAAAAATTTTTAACAAGTAATCTTGATTTGAAGGAAAATACAACTAATTCCAGGTTTAACCCAGCTGAGAAAGGTTTTCCGCTGTGTGTAGCCATTACCCTTACTGACACACATGCCTAGAAAACCCCTCTTCACATCTAATCTTCACAATCTCCGTGTGTCACAGAACACCTCTTTTTGTTCATATGCACCCGGAAGGAAAAAAATGTCTCATTGTTATGTGTTGGATATAGCAGGAAAGCCAGTAAAACATTTATGGAATAAATAAACCTATATTAAGCATTTCATTAGGAACAATCAGAGGACCCAAATAATTTTAAATTGTGGTGTTTTTTTCAGATCACTCTGTAAGCCTACCTCAGGGTCACAGGGACTCTGTGAATCAGTGTTAGACTTCTCATTAACACTGTAGTCTTTTTTACTTCTCTTACATGATAATCTTTTAAGGTGTTATCAGAAATGTCTATTTTTTAAAGCAAACACAAAGTAACTCTGGAATTCAAATGAACTGTGTCTCTTTCAAAGCAGCAGCTTTCAGAATCTGAAGGTTGATTCTCACAACGTTGCCAGTGCCTGAAAGCTTTAGAAAGAACTTTTAAGAACTCTAGCTTAGCGATGTACTCAGCTCTATCAGAACTTCAAAATGAAAAGAAGACAGGATGCCCATTTGGGGGAGCTCAAGGCTATGAATACCCTGAGGCATGTTCAGAAAAAAAAATTCTCTTTCAGAGATAGATTCAATATTTAGTAAAAAGCCAAAAATTTTTTCAAATCCAAATGTGATGAAGACATACATAGATAGTCAAGCTTGTCAAAACACGTGTAACAAAGGAAAATAGTAAGACTGATTGTTTTTGCTGAACTATTTCTAAAAAGAACTCAAGAGAGGAATTACCAGAACACCAACACAGCTACATGTATCGCAAGGGACTCGGGGAGGGAAACAATACACGTCCTTGGGTTGAATATCAGATTTACCTTGGTAATTAATTACTTTGCAATCACATGTCTGTGAAATTAATTTCATCTTAAGACCACTCATTCACTAACTGAACAAATGTTTACTGAACACCTACCATATATCAAACAAGAAATATAAAGATACACAGACAAAAGCTCAGAGTCAACTGGGCCAACAGAGACAGGACTGCACAGAATTATAATATAATAAATATAATAAATACTAAAATAAAGGTGTACAAAATCACCATGGGAACATAAGAGAGGAAATTAACTCTGCCTGAGGGATTGTGGAAGGCTTCACAAAGGAGGCACTGGTTTACTAGACAAGGATGAATTTGCCATACAGATAACAGGAATTGTGCAGAAGGGCACTCCAGTCAGGGGTGGGGAGCATATGCAAGGTCTGGATGTGAGGAAAAAACACAACATGTTAGCTTCCAGTTTCAAAATGGAAAGCTAAGCTCACATTGCAATCTCCTTTCCCAGAGAAATCACAGAAATGATTAAATAAAGGGGAGGGAGAGGAGAGGGGGAGGGAGCGAGAAAGGAGGGAAGGAACAAAGGAAGGGGTTGGGGAAGGATGAAGGGAGATGTGCATATACAGCCACACTCAAAAATTAAGAGGAGAGAATCTTATCAGCCCAGAAACTGGGAGCACCTGAAAGGCTGAAGGCAGATAGCATATGACCAAAGAGGGAAGCTGAGGCTCAGGGGACAGGTGGGAAGTCTTGCACTGGAGAACATTAAGAGTACTCAGTGCTCACTGATGGGGGCACAACAAGGCGGCCCAAGGGCAACTGAGTGGAGATTAGTTGGAGACCTCAGTGGAAGCAGCTAGGCTTGCAGATCTCATATGAGCTCTCACTCCTACCCTGACCCCAGAGAGCAACTGGACAGAGGAGGAGAAAGGCATTAATCCAACAGAGAATCTAAACTGCAAAATGAGGCAAATTAAGAATTATCCAGGGGCGCTTGGGTTGCTCAGGTGGTTGAGCACCCGACTCTTGATTTTGGCTCAGGCCATCATCCCAGGGTCATGGGATCAAGCCCCCAGTCGGACTCCATGCTGAGTATGGAGACTGCTTGTGATTCTCTCTTGCTCTTCCTCTGCCCCTCCCCTGCTCATGTGTGTGCACACACATATCAGCCCACTCTCAAAGTCAATAAATAAACTTAAAAAAAAGAAAAAAACTATCCAAAGTTTAAAAAGCATCCATACCATGAAATAAAATCTCATCAGATGAAAGGACTTAGAATGCCTCCCCCCTCAAAACAAGACTTAATAGAGCAATCAAAACAAAATCTTAAAGTAAATATAATTAATTGAGAGAGGTTTTCTTCTTAAAGTATTTACATTCTTAACACATGAAAATCAACCAATTAGAGATCTTGGATGTGAGAAACTGTTGAAATAAAAAAAATTAAAAAAAAAAAGTAATAATGTAAAAGAGCAGGAGAGACCCAGTAGAAGTAATTTGTGAGCTAGGAAAAAAGACCAAAGAATTCTCCCATAATACAACACAGAGACATAAAGGGTTCAGAAATACAAAAGAAAGATAAAAGTAACAGAGGAGACATCCAGAAGTCTCATCATCAGTCTAATAAGAGAACAAAAAGAACAGAATAAAGAAAATGTAGGGAAGGTGGTATCTGAAGAAATCATGAAGTTGAGACTTTCCCAGATCTAAAGAAAGACCTTAAGTTCATCAAGTAGTTCTGTGCAACAGGTACATAAGACACAAAAGATTACACTCTACAAGGCTGAAGAAGCAGTCAGGAGCTATATCATGAAGGATCTTGCATTTTAGATAAGACTTTACAAGAGAAAATTATTGAAGTGAGATCCAAATACTGGATGAAAATAATGGAATCAGTAGGAACCCATGATTAAAAGAAATACATGGTTCTATCCAACGAAAGGGTCTTGATGCAATGACACTTAAAGTTATGAGCACCCCTAAAGTCCAGATCTTGGTTTCTAAATATCATTGCTCACCAAATGGAACCCGGGCTCCCTGAAGAAATGACTGATTTCCAGGGCTGGAGCAGGCAGAATAAGGTGAGCCTAGAACATCTTATGTCAGAAAATAAGGAAGGACTCAAACATTAATCAGAACTAGCTTGAAAAGCCTTCCTTCATGCAAATTTGGGGTAATACAAACAACAGAAAGAATACGAAGAAAACATTATAAAATATGTAATTTAAAAAACAAAGCCATGAATCATAATGATTCTAAAAAATGTGGGAGCAGAGAGAAGGGAAAGCTCTATTTAGAGAAGAATACCAACTAATAAGTGTAGGAGGAATGACAGAAAATCACTATTTTGCAATCACAATGATCACAACTGAAGGAATTATGCGAAATAATGGGCTCAGATTCTCTAAAAATGTCAATGTTATGAAAGATAAAAAAAAAGGATGGGGAACTGTTCTGGATTTAAAAAGACTAGACAGACATAACAATTAAATGCAATGAGTAGTCCTTAATGACATTCTGGATTAAAAAAAAAACAAAACAGCTTTGGAACAACTGGGAAAATGTGAATATGGATTGTATTTCAAATAATAATACAATAGATAATAGTATGTCACATTTCTTGAATGATGGTTGCATTATGGTTGATAGAAGAATGGCACTGTCTTACATAACACATGCTGAACTAATTAGGATTGAAGAAATCCCATAATTTTATAATTTACTCCCAAATGAAAGAGAAAGAGAGAGGATGTGTGTGCATGTGTGTATTTGTAATCTCTGGGATTCACTGTTCTATTCTGGTCAATTTTCTTAGGTTTGAAATTTTGCAAATAAAAGGAAAAAAGAAGAGAGTTTCTAAGGAACATTAAAGCAATGACTATCATGATCTGACTTGTATTCTAGGATGATTATTCTGAGAGGATTTATTTCAGGAAGAAGCAAGGCAAGAACAGAAGGACCAGAGGCCAATTTACCATAAAGCCGATGAACCCTTATCTTGTGGGTCCCTTCCAAAGCCCTGGGAGAAACCTAAGCAATAGATGGTTAACATCATCATTTGCTTTTGTAAAATTTGCAAAATAAGATATTCTAACTATGCTTGGTTAAGACCACTGTCTCTTTTCCATTCCAACTCCCTTCACCTTCCGTCAGGCAGCTCTGAAGTAATGACAGGCATTTTGGGGATCCTGCTAATGGGACTTGAAATTTAGGTTTAGTGGGATATTATCTGTGGTTTGTAGTCACTTCCTTGTACAGTTAAATGTTTGAGAACTGTCTTGGTACACGAATAGCCTTCCGGAATGCTTCTGTCACCCAATGTGCAGACTTTTTTGGTGTCTTGAAGACAAAGATGCCAAGCTGAAAGAGGAACACAACACAAACTATAATGCCCAGCACCAAAAAGATGTGAAGAGCAAAGAAATAGCTGGAAGAAAAACTAATTCTCATATTCTTCTCTACATAGAAAATAACAAAAGCAGTTACCTTAGGAAAAAGTGATCAAAGACTGCACAGCCAAAAAACATAAGGAAAATTAAAGAATGTCAAGCTGTTAAATAGTAGACATGTTTTTTAAATGTCTGTGGTATTTGACAGCTTTTTAGATTTGCAACTCACCATGCTTCCTTTTCTCATTCTAAATATTCATGAGTGTGCATGTGTTTATCTGTAATGTTGTAGTTTTTTTCCCAACAAGGACCTCTGAAATTATTTAAGTTTCAGGTCCTACAAAATCAGGAACTACCCCTTGAGACCAAAAAGAAGGCCACTATGACAGATAATTACATGACTAAGATCTGAAATCCAATGAAGAAAAAGAGAACGCGTGGAGTTTGAGGTTTATTTGATATGTAAAACCAAAAGGGCTTCTTAGTCAACTGGATATGGGAAATGGGAGGAAAGCTGGGTTGGATGATTCTAGTTTGGGTGAATGAATGGGTTTGACATCATTCACCAAGGCAGCGAACTCAGCAGAAAGAGGAAGATTCTGTGGAGATACAGGCCAGGAGAGAAACTAGAGCCAGAGAAACAGACTGGGTATTCATCAGGGTCTATACGGGGAAAGGTAAAGCAACAGATTAACAAATTCAAGGTCACAGTAAACAGCAAGAAGTGAAGCCAAAGGATGAAACCCTGGGAAACAACTAGTGGTGTGTTGGTTCAATATGTGTATGGGGGTGGGGGGTGGTGTTGACCAGTAAGAAGACAGAGAATTAAAACAACCAAGAAACAAAGAATAGCTTTTTTAATTGAAGGGAGAGATGTGTTTGAATAACTTCAAAGGATGAATTGTTATTAAAATATAAATCAAATTAAAGGGTAAATGTAAATGGATGTCAAATTTGTCAATAAGCATTTAACTGGTAACCATGGGCGAGAACAAACGCAGTATAATTGCGAAAGTCAAAGTCAGACTGTAGTGGACTGAAGAATAAATGGGAAGTCAGGAAGTGGACTCAGGAAGTGTGGATGACTCTTTCAAGAATTGAGGCCTGCAATAAAAAGAAACTTAGGGAAGTAGAGGGGATGTGCGGTCAAGGAAGGGTCAAGCCTACTTTGTGTCTTCTAAATGCTAAACATACACCTACCCTACCACTATGACCCCAAATCCTACTCCTAGGAAACTTAAGCATCATTAAAAGGAGAGTGAATAAATAAATCACAGCACATTCACACAAGTGAAAATATACACCAAAATAACAAAATATAGTTAAGTGCAACATGGATATATGCCCAGAATATTAAGCTAACTGAAATTAGACACAAAGTACTACATACGGAATAATTCCTTTTGTATGAAGTTCTAGAATAAGTAGAACTAATCTATATTGTTAGAAGTCAGAATAGCAGTTATCTCCAGGGAGGGGTGCTATTAACTAGGAAGAGGCATAAGAGAGCCCTCCAAAGTGAGGCAAATGTTCTCAATCTTGACCTGTGAGGCGGCTGCATAGATACATGTACATGTAGGAAGGCATTAAGTTGCACTCTGGGATTAGGGAACTTTACATCCCTTACTTTGCTCTACCTTAATGAAAAGGAAAAATAATCAATGAATAAAATTTTAAAGCCAGCCTCACTGAGGAAATACCACTAAGATGGAACTATCAAAATACCACCAAATCAAAGTGAATTCCAAGCTGGCCCTAGGAGATCTGACAATGATATGCATAGCAGCGAATGCTGGCACTGGCTGAACAAAAGAATCCAGCAGCCTTGGAGTCAACGCTTCCTCTCCTTCAGGCGGTGTTGCCAGTGGATTCAGTTTGCTCCTTACTAGCTACCTGAAAACCCTGCACCTAAGCCCAATTCCTTCTGCAGACAAATCTATCCTTCCCACTGGATAGACCTTCAGAATGTCAGAAAGAATCTTCCGGGGCTCAGCGCCAGCCTCATACCTTTCCCGTATCAAAAGAACACAAGTACTGACTTCCTTCACTACTGTAGAACAATTTAGAAGACAAATCTGTACCATCAGAATCACAGTAGTCCGTGACACTTTATTTTGATGTCTCACTATCATACCATGTGATGAAGAGATTAACGGCTGGCATTTGAATGCAGTGATTTTATTCCCAAAAAAAGCCCCATATTAATCATGAATAAACTTAGCACTATTTAAAATTATCATGGTACCTGCATTCTCATCATAAAAAAAATTAAATACTTACCATTTTGTCTGGTGCCAACAGCAGCAATGATTACTGGAACTGAATTTAATGCCCTTTTAATCACTGGAATATAATTATCCTTTACTTCGTGGAATGAAAACTTGTCATTTACGTTGTATTTGATCACAATGATGTCAGCACTCCCAATTAGATTTCTAGAGGTATACCAATCACTGTCAAAAATGTCCTAAACCAAAATGCAAAGAGCACTCTTTAGTCTACTTGTCTTCAAATGAATCATGAAATAAAATGTAACACATTAAATTTTTTCCTATAATTTTTGTAATTCATAAAAAGAATTTATTTTTAAATAAGTAACTATCTAAAATTAAAAATGTTTAAAGCCTACCAACTCTTCAATTTTTATGTATTCATTTAGCCTATTCAGCAGTGTAGTTGTTGTACTCTGAGACAGATCTAGGGAATCACTGTCTGTGTGATGAAATACGCAATTTCTTTCAATATGTGCACTTAAAAATAAGCACTTTGTTTTAAAATTATGCCATATTTTTATCACCTAATAAATTTGAAAATGTTAACACTACGGCAGTAGATGCCAGAGCATCAGTATGAGTAAAGAAGCTTCAGAGGATTTTCTGTGACCCAATTAGACACTGCAGGAGTGTTCAAGTGGTTTAAATGGCAATGCATTGTGAATTCTGTGGAGTTCCATGTATTTTATACATATTTTCAAAATTTATACATACCTTTCAACTTAATCCATCCTTTGGACGGTACAGTATATATATATAATGTATGTGTGTATATAGGGATGTATGACTTATAAAAAGATACTATGTATTATAAAGTGTCAACATGGTAAAGAATAGATTTTCAATTCCTGTTTTTAGCTTATATAAATTAAAAATTCAGGATAAACCTTTCAATCTTGAAATTTTTACTTTTGGACTACAGTTAATAATTACCACTATATAGAATCAGGGCCAAAAGTAATTTATTATGAACTCTACTCCTTAAAAGCTTTGATACTTCAAAAGTATTTTTCAAAGGCTTTATGTGAATAGTAGCATAAGAAAAATATGTTTATATATCTTAATACTACAGCTAAGTATGCATTAGTAGCTTTTTTCCTCATATTCTAGTTAACTATTAATCATTATTTGTCCTTTCCTGTGGCCTTTAGTATGTATTTCCAGGATATAACATGGCTAGATTAAGAAAATAGTTAGATGTGGCTAACAGATCCAAAAACTGTTGGGCTATGAAAGTTTGCACTTTAAAATATGAGCCCCAAATAGGGTAATAATGCTGAAATCAATCAGTCAAGATCCATGTGACAGAGCTTTCATCCTATGATGGAAAATTCTGGAGAAGTGTTACACAGCAATGCCCTTTAGAAGAGAGAGCTGCTTCTCACCAGGACCTCCGCCATCCCCAGCAAGGCCTCCCCCAATTCCCTGCACCCACCCCAACCCACCTACTTCCTATGAGTACACTCAGAGTAATGAGAACTGCAAAATGTTTGGACATGGATTTTTTGAAATGTTTGGACATGAATTTATTGAAAGTGGGAGCACTGAAAAAGGAAGATTAAAAAAACCAACAAAGAAAAGTAGACAAACTATGGGGACATAAACAGCAAAGGCAAAGTCTTAAGCTTGGAGGAGGGTGGAAGAGGCGGGGAGAAGGGAAGTGGGACACAGATCAAGAAAATGTGAAGGCTTCCCAGCAGAGCTCCACACTCATGCTCTTTTCCAAATCCCAAACCACAAACCCATTCAGTTCCAAATGTATCTGCTATAGTATCCAAGTTCAAAGTAAACAAGCATAACAGGGTATATAAGTACAACAAAGAAAGAGAACAAAGTCAGATGAATGGGATTAAAAAAAAAAAAAAAAACAAACAACTAGAAATAGGTGGACCAAATGAAACAGCTATTTAACTCTGACAGAACAAATCAAAAGTAACCGCTCTTTGCATTCCAAATAGTTTAAAATTCCAGAGTTACTGGAGAGGTGTACTAGGAAAAAAAGGACATTGAGAGGGAAGTGTCAGGAGAAAATGGGTTTTGGCATCATTACCACGGATGTATTGAGGATATAAACACTGTAAATAATTGTATTTTTAAACCATCAGTTTCAAATCCTGCACAAGAAAAGTGTGCATGTGTTACCTCATTGCTTTTTGTGGAATATCTCTGGTAAACAGGAAAAGATCTAGAAATAAAATAACGTAACCGCACACACACAAAAAAGAGGATGGGTTTGAGAGAGACATCCTAAATAATGAACTACATAAAATGAATATGAAATGCATTAATTTAAAAGTGCCAAATATATATACCGCAAGGATCCAGAGTAAGGCCATGGATCTACAGAAAAAACAAGAGAAGTACAAACTGTCTCATTCCAATTCCAAGGAAATAACACCACATTCCTAGTCAAACTGTGTCAAAGAGAAAATGCTCCCCTGGTTTCTAGAAATATGAAGGAAATCAAATTCTCCCACCCCTTGTAAATCACTTCCAGGATTTCCTCTAGGAGGTTATGCAATGCAAAGCTTGGAGCCACATTGGGAGAATGGAAATCATTTTTTTTTTAATAATCTAAATTTTTGCAGCAAAACAACTGTATTCTACTTGACTATGGGGCTGCAAAGTACTGTTTTGTACTTTGCACTTAGTACTAAGTACTAATACCACTGCCTCAGTGTGGTGGCAAATTCACTACATTTGTGTGAACCTTGAATGATGTATACGAAAACTTCTGCTTAGTGTGACACATGGCTATACTGAAGTCGTAATAAACACATTATAGGAGCTACCACCTACTGAGTGCCTACTACACGTCTGCTTCTACACTAAGAACTTTACACGTGCTCCCTCATTTACTCTTCAGCACAGCTCTAGGAGGCAGGGATTATTTTCATTTTATACATAGGAAAAGTGAGTTTAAGAGAGGATCGCTGACTTAACCAAGGAAAATCTCTAAGTAGCAATGTGGGGATCTGAAAGCAGGTCCTTCTGCTCTCAAAACCTGTGCTCTATCTGCTCTGCTATATTGAATATTATGTTTCTGTACATGTCAAGTATCAGCTGATAAATACAATCCACCTGAATATCTCTGATGGACTTTTACCACCAAAAAAAGAAAAGCACCTGAGAAGAGAAACTCTATAAATATATTCCCTCATGTTTGAAGATCATTATAACCCCCAAAGTGTACCTGGTTACCAATTCAATGCCTTAAACAGGACCAGAGTCTAAACAAACAAAAGGTTAAGATTAACACAATAAAATGCAACAATCAGTATATGGCAAAAATCTAGACTACAGACGCTTATTCTAATCCATTCACTTACTACAACACATGATCACAAGTACTGTTTTTTGCTAAATTATCAACATAAACAGGAAAGAGCTAACAGCTCAAAGAAAAAACAGGAAATGTAAAACCTAACATCCAAATTCAGCTTATTTTCCCTACATTTATTTACTCTACTCACTCAACATCTGTTCCACTGACTGTAGTAAAACCAGTAAGTTTTTAGACTGTACTATCTTTCACAATGAAATGGCCAAAGTGAAGGAAAAAAAAGTGTTTCATTTGCTTGCACAGATTCCAGCAAGTTCCTGATCAATGCTTCTTATGACTAGCATCATCACTGTCATAAATGGGAATTCAATACTACCCAGTAATGGAAAAACTGTTTTGCATTTATTTTAGGCCATTAATGTAAATATCCTTTAACTGAAAATTTGTTTGGGCTATAGTGATCCTTTCTTGCCATAATTTGCATAAGACATTTTTTATGTACATTCCATACATTCCTTTAGAAAGGTGTATCAGTTCCCCATAGCACCTGATCTAGATTTTTAAAATTGCTATTTAAACATACAGTCTCACATAATGAGAATTTGTATCTTCTTTTTCACTCAGCTTTCTTCTGTTATAAAATACATTCTTGAGCTTTAGTTATAATATTATAACTCCAATACCAGTAAAGAATAAGAAATTTCCAAATAAGATTAAATGAAAACATTAAAATTATTACTATTATTGCATACCTCAGTATTACATTATTGTGCATTAAAAATATTTATGTGTCACAGAGTAGATTCCTTTCTCCTTTATCAAGTACTCAAGAATCAGACTGAATTTTATCGACTTTATTACAATTTCTTCTAATTATTGCAAATTTTAAAGCTTTTTGAAAATTCCAAGCAGTATTATTATTTCCGATTTATGAGTCACTGAAAACAAATGGCTAATATATCAAGAGTATCTGCATTATTAAAATTAAAAACATGAATTAAAATTTTCAAAAGTGGATAGTGTTGCAAATGAGTGGTTTAAAATTAATTCTCAGTCCCTGTCTCTTCCTCTCCTTTCCAGGGGTCCTATTTCTGAACTGCCCCAGTGAAATTTATTTTTGCTTGTGTTGAGCTTTCAGAGGACTTTATTTTTAGAACACTAATATTACACTATCACCAACAGGGTAGGCATGAAAAAACATTGCTCTCTGCGGGTGACACTTGGTGACCCCGTCCCTTGGGGTTGTCACATTCAACTGCCAGCTACCAAGGGACAACCTACAGTCGTGAATTGTAGGAGTAAGCGCTCCAAGTTCCCACTGGGGCTTTTTTGCCTTCTAAGAGTGCTCTCTGACCATGCTGCCCCCCGCCCGGTGAAACAAAGGAAAACGAAGCTTTTCCCAAAAATGTTTTAAAACTCTACCCAGGTGACCCGGACGGTCCACATCCGTGAAAAGGGAAAAAGGGGGAGGAGGAAAACAAATGAAAGAAAAGCTCCGTCAGCCTCGGCAGTGAGCAGCGGCCGCCCCTTACCCAGACGGGGCAGTCGTGGACCACCAGCTTGACATTCCCAAACGCGCTGGCCTGATACTCGGTGAACACGGGACGTGCGACCGTACTGGTGGCGTTCAGCAACAAGCTGCTTTCGTCCCCCGAGACCAGCGGGCTTCTCCCCAGGTAAGTGCGGATGAGCCCCGACGGCCGATTGTCCTGGTGAAACGCGTCCCCCTCGTTCCCGAGCGCCACGATGTGAATGGACCTACACGACAGGGAGGGGGTGAGGGGGGAGAAGAGGCGCGTGGTCAGCGCGAGGATCTCTTTAATCAGAACAGGAAGTGCGGGGGGCAGCGCGCGGCGAGGATGAGCGAAAGCCCCTCGCGCTGGGGCGCACGACACGCGTTGGGGTAGAGACAATGGCAGGACCGCGACGCGTACGTACATGATCTCAAATCCAAGGGCAGGGCGGCGACTCGGAGAAAAGCGGCTCCTCGCGGCCTCTCGGGGCCAGGCGGCGGCGTATTCACCCGCAATCAGCTCATCCCCGGCCGCGTCTCCTTCGCGCGCCTCCACCGCGGTGCGGCCGACGCAGAGCGGGCCCGCGCGAGCAGGCGAGCGAGCGACCAGGGGGCCGGAGACGTGCGAGTCGGGCCGTGTGCGCGCTGCCAGCCAGTCAGGAAGTGCCCGGGAACATCCCGAGCGGCCCGCCGCTCCCCGCCTCCCCGGCCGCCGCCGCCGCCGCCGCCAAGAGTGGCCCGGCGCCCGGGCGCTGCAGCCCCCTCTCTGCCGCGCTCCCCGGGCCGGGCAGCTGTCGCCTTCTGCTGCCGCGGCTCCTCCTTCTGGCCGAGAGTGAGTTAGGAGAAAAGCCGGGGCCTCCGCCCCCTCGGCGGGCCGGGCGGGCGGGTGCAGCACGTGCTGGCCTTGGGGGTCGAGCGGACGCGGGGGGCGCGCTCCCCGCCGGGCCCCGGGCCCAGGCAGCGGCTGCCGGATACAAAGGAGCGGCCCGCGCAAGGGCCCCGCGGAATATAAATTAATAAATACAACGCCCAAGCCGGAGAGCTCCTGATCGCCAATCCGCCTGCAGCAAGTTTGTTCAACTCGAGAGGCTGTAACCAGAGCCAGGGAAAGGGGGGTGGGGCGGTGAGGCCCCCGCTCCCTAAAGACTGGGGAAAAAGGAGGCTGGGGAAGCTAGGCATTCAAGCCTGCTGGCCGCTCCAGCAGCCCAATTTTTTTCCCCTTTTGGCCTTGACCGAAAGTGTTTTACCACGTCTCCCGCTTTGTCATTTGTCAACATGCACTACAGCTGTTTTCTAAAATCATACTTGGGAGAAAAAAATAAAGGCAACATTCATGCTGGGGCAGAAAGAGTTCTTTGTTCACACAGCAATTAATTTGCTAATATCGCTTTTGAGGGATTATTTACTATTTCAAGCTATATTTGGCATAGTTTACCAAAAACTGCAGCTTTTCTTTTTTTTGAGTGCTGGGGTTCTTATTGTGATAATGTTAAGAAGTTACGTGTGAGGTGTTTAACATACGGATAAGCTAAATGCTAGTTTACTTGGAGATTTTCCAGTGCACATTAAGGCTACCTATTTAATAACTCCTTAGACCAACTGAAAAAATAATGATCATGCTAATAATGCAAGGATACTTCAGATTCCTTCATGATAACTCACTGAAGTAAAGGTTATGACTGCCTCTAAAGGGCCTCGAACTATCCCAATGCAAATGAACACCCGAGTCCACTAATACCAAGAAGGGCCAGAGGTTACTGTGGGACTCAGCTTCTCCATAAACATGAAAATTCTCACAAGTGCTCTGTGTTGAAAGAGTTATTTCTCCCTTTCCTTATTTATTCATTTTGCCCTACTTTAAAATATCTTTTCTCAAGAGAGCTATTTTGAGGGTATGAGGTACTGAGGAGGGACTGAGGTACTGAGTAGGGGAGTGAAAAGACTAGGATAAGAGGCCTTTGGAATGTGAACAGCTTTTGATTATGGGCCCTTGTTGCTCAGTTGGAAGCAGTTAATATAGTTTCTCATGCTCATAGGGTATAGCAAGAGGCATTATTCATGTAGTCACTGATTTTTATTTTTACAATTTTTTTTAATGTTTATTCATTTTTGAGAGAGAGCGAGACAGAGAGAGAAAGAGGGAAGCAGAGTGTGAGCAGGCGAGGGGCAGAGAGAGGAAGACACAGAATGTGAAGCAGGCTCGGGCTCTGAGCTGTCAGCACAGAGCCTGATGAGGGGCCAAACCCATGAACCATAAGATCATGACCTGAGCCGAAGTCAAAACGCTTAGCCGACTGAGCCACCCAGGCGCCCTATCACTGATTTTTTTTTTTTTAAATCTAGTTTCCCTTGTACTAAGTATAATTTCCCTTAGTCTTTAGAACCTAAACCATCCTGAAATATCTAAGAGTATAGGATCACCTTTTCTCTTGGGTCAATAGAAAATATATTTTGTCAATCCCTTCTGGTAACCACAGGTCAAAAACAAAGACACTAGAATGGATGAATGCAGAAAGAAATTGTGGTATGTACCTGCAATGAAATATTATTTGGGATTAAAAAAGAAAGAAATCCTGTCATCTGTTACAATATGAATGAATCTTGAGGGTGTTATGCTAAATGAAATAAGCCAGTCACAGAAAGACAACTACTGCATTATTCCATTTATGTCCGGTATCTAAGGTAGTCAGACTCTTAGAAACAGAAAGTAGAATGGTGGTTACCAGGGGCTGAGGGTAGGAGGAAATAGAGAGTTGTTCAACAAGGAGAGTTTCAGTTTTGCAAGATGAAAAAAACTCTAGAGATCTAATGCAAACAAGGTGCATATAGTTAACACTACTGTAATGTATACTTTAAAATGGTGAAGATGGTAAATTTCATGTTATATTTTTATGTTTTGTCACAATACAAAAAAGGGGGGTGGGGATTGGAAAGTGGCAGGAAGAAGCATGCATTTTCTCCTCCATTATTGAGTATATGGGAGCCAGGCCCATGGTGGGTAGCATGGGAGATACGAAGATACATTAAGACTCAGGTGTTACCCTTGAGAAACCAAGTCTATAATTAATGGTCGCTACATTGTGAATATTAATGCACCCAATCCTTTGAAAACATACTGGTTGCTTAAATAATTATAATACAAGCTTATGCATTCAGCAGCAGAGGTAGGTACAAAGTACAAGGTTAAAATTCAGTGAACATTAAGAAGAGACTGTGCCTGTGTGTCACCAGAGAAAAGTTCACAGAGGAAGTAAACAGTGGCTTGGGTCCTAACAGATGAGAAGGAATTGCTAATATGAAGAGGAGGGAGGTGGGAAGGGAGAGAGTTTTAGAAGGAATAGACAGACATCATATGAAAATCACATGCAAAGGTGTAGAGACATGGAAGATCATGGTTTGTTCAGGAAACAGAGCTGAAATTAACACTGGTGTGCAGATTCCTTTATTACAGCAGACAAAAAAGAGAGTGGTAGAGGCTTTCCAAGAGATTTCAAAAGTCAGACCTGGGAATACTAACTATAGATTAGGGGTCCCTCTGTATATACCAGAGAGCTCAGCTAGATGCTTACCAAACCCATCTTCTTTTCCAGGACCCATAGCTGAACTACATTTTCCAAAGCTTTTACATGTAGATAAGGCCATATCATTAATTCTGGGTAGCAGAATATAATCCCTACTGAGCTGTTAAGAAAAGTGTGCCTTCTCTATTCTCTTTTATCCCTCTCTACTAACTGGGTGAAGCCAGGTCAATGTTGAAGCCATTGTTTGAATCTGTTGGTCTGCTGCATGGAGGAAGATTGGGTTCCTGAATGAATGGTTAGAGCAGAGCTGCTTCACAGCATGCATTGTACTGAGACATGAGTGAGAAAATAGATCTTTATTGAGTTAAGCCAAACATTTTAGGGTCAATTATTATAGCAGCTAGTGTTACTTACCTTGGCTAATACAAGATCACAGATGGTCCATTTCTTGATATCGTAAAGATTCTTTTTATAATTATCTTAAGGCTACTTTTTTTAATAATTATTTTCCTCTTATTTACAATTTTTATTTGGTTTATATATTTGTAGTTTCCCTCAGTAGCATTTAATTAAAAATTTACTTTTACTGGGGTATAACAAATTGGATTATCATTAGTCCTCCAGTCTCAAGGTCATGGGGAACATGCAAGCAAGCACCTCCCACCCAAACAACATGCTTCCCTATTTTTGCAGTGGAAATGCCACCATTTTCTATTCATTCTAATAGATGCTCTTATCTCCAGATACAATGTAGCCACATAAAAGCGTTAAAGTATGTGTGAGGTAACTCAGAGAGTTATTACTGGTTCCCAGATCATGAATATTAATATACCAGTCTTTGAAAAATATTCTGATTCCTTAATGACTAGAGAGGAAGCAAGTGTTACTATGGGTAGGTCTGAAGAATTAGGCTTGGCATTAAGATTTTTCCAACTGTGTTTTAAAGGAACTAGTTTTCCATCTGAGGAGGTGGGGGAGAAAGATACCTAAAGAGGTCTGAGCACCACCTTCTCCCATCTCATAGTCAATCAGAGCAGTGTTATTGTCATCTAATTTTATGTTTTATTTTTTTTTTCAGTTTATTTATTTTGAGAGAGAGAGAGAGAGAGCGAGTTCACAGATCATGACTTGAGCCAAAACCAAGAGTTGGACGCTCAACTGACTGAACCACCCAGGAGTCGCTGAAAGAATATATTAGAGTTTCAAGTTTATTTTCAGTAAAAAGAGGGTATTTCTAACATTAAGAGGAATAAAATTTTAAGACTGTCTAGAGCAAGGGTCTCTAAAATGGGGTACAGAGGATGAACCTGAACCTGAAATTTGAGAATAAAGTATTTGGACTTCTATGTACAAACACATATACTTTTATCAAAATAAAGGGAAAGAAGTCAAGCTTTAATAATATTGAAGGTGAGGACTGGCAGCAGCACCCCCACATGGTCCATAGGTGGACAGGCACCTGGGGTGCTCTGGGGAGAGGGTGGGAGCACAGCAGCCACAGAACAGAAGGGGAGGGCTCTCTCCATTGTTCGCTTTCAACATATTGCCACATGTTGCAGTTTCTGTCTCACTAAGTGGATTTATGTAGGATATTTAAATGAACAGTTACAGCATGGACCAATGGAGATAGTGTTAATAATGCAAGAATAAGCAAACACAGTTGGCTGCGCTGACATTTTTGATGTCCTTTGGAAGCCACATTGCAAAGTAAAAAATGAATGACTTAATCGGATCTGACAAGTTGGCCATAATCATTGAAATAATAAGAACATTTGTTTTAAGTATGAATTTACATATACTTTTGCTAACTGACTTCACCCGGTGTGTATCATAGTTAATAGATAATGATATTCTGAACTGATTACAATTAGCTAGCCATTTAAAAACTATGCATTCAAACATGAAGGCAAAACTCGGCATCTCCAGCATATTGAGTAATGTACTGTTCAAGCCAATACTTTAAAGAAAATTCATATATTACAAATGCTAAAAAGCTTTGTCTGAGCTTTCATAACAATGAATGTCAAAAAGCAACATACGATAGGGAAAATAGTTTTTTTTCTTGCCAAGATGAAAATCCCTGAAATTATACATGGAACACAAATGGAAAAAAACAACTTCATTTCTTTGACAGTGAATACCTTGAGAATATGCATATGAAACACTGCTAAAGACCCAAAGACACAAGTATTGGAACAAGTTACACAATGTGGGAAGTTTAGCATAAAGTTAAACTGAAAGCACAGATGTTTTTAATATATCTCACGTTATGGTGGATAGATTCTGTTATGATAGATTCTGTTTCAGTGTGGTATTTACTACACTATGTTTTGATAATGAAATACATTTTAAAATGACATTTTTTGTGTGTGAACCACTAAAGAAAAACTATAGTAGAGAAGATATTCTTTCTTAACTACATCTTGAAATGATGTTTTAAATAATAGTTGAATTTGTAAAAATAAAAACTGTTTTATACAAAACTTGTGTAGTGTAATCATCGATGGATTCATTGTTTTGACTAAAACTTTTTAAAAAAATGAAGGGGAGGATTCCAAGCTAAGGTTATATGAGACCATTCATGTGAAATTCATTCATGGTACATTTTATAGGAAGTTATTCCAGCAAAGAAGTTGGGGCCAGAATACACAACACTATAAGATGTTAACAATGCAGTTAATTTTGTGCAAATGAGACTTGTAGAGAGTTTTTAAAATTTTTTCTTCATTGTGAAGTATAACACCTGTGCACAGAAAATTGCATAAAAATCATCACAAATTAATAATTATAAAATAAACTTTCCTTAACATCTCCCAAGTCAGAAAATAGGGTATTATCAACATTCATGCAAGGGTACAGGCATGTGCAGACACACACACACACACACACACACACCTGGTGCCCACCCCCTTCCCCCTCCCCAGTTACAGTTATCTTTTCTTCCTTAGAGATAATCATCACCTGACTTTTGTGATGATTATTTATTTTTCTATATTGCTTTACTACATGTGCATCCCTAAGCAAACATTTTAATTTTGCTTCTTTTTGAACTTTTTATGTGGCATCACACTGTATATACTCTTTTGTGTCTTGATTCTTATGATCATCAACATTTGTCAGATTCATTCATGTGAATGTAGCTGTGGTTTGTTCCTTTCATTCATTTTTATTGCTGAATAACATCCAATGGATATATACACAACCATTTACTTTTCCATCCCATTGTAGATGCATATGTGGGTTATTTGTAGTTTTTGCCTATTACAAACAAAGCCTCAAGGACCACTCTTATTAAATATAGTGGGTATGCTACATCACAGGGTATGTGTATGTCCAACTTTAATAGATAATACCCAACTGATTTCAAAAATCACTTTAATTATTACACTCTTAACTTCAGGGCATGAGAATTCTCCCCTTAATCCTTTATATACTTGAGTATACTTACTATATGTCAGATATGAGAGTAAGTGTTTTACTATTATTGACTTATTTACTACTTATTAATATTTAATATCCGCCCTGTTGAGTACATGTCTTACTATCCTAATTTACAGGAGAGAAAATTGAGGCACAGAAAGAGGCTAAGTAACTTGCCCACAGTTATACAAACAATGAGTTGGGATTCCAACTTAGTAGACTGGCTCCAGAGTCTATGCCCTTACCCACTACACTGTGTTGATCTATAAAAATACTTCCTTCATTATGTAATTTTTGTGAAGGAAAACATTGCATGTAACCTATAAAAATGCATATATTATAGGCTTTTTTAACCTAGCTAAACATTTTCCAAATAAAATTTCCATGGGTTTTGAAGCCATTTGTTAAAAATATAAACATTTACAACATCTTCTGATTAGAGTGTAGAAACAAATGAGTAACATTAGGCAAGTTGGAAATGTATGTATCTAATATCATTAGATATTAACAAAAATCTTCACATAAAAAGTGGGTCTGAAAAATAAGTATTATGATTTAGTAACTCAGCTAAGGAAGCAGTTCTTCCATTCAAATTCATTTATCTTCATGAGATCTTTTCAGAGGAACTTGAAGTAAACAAAACGTAAAAGCAGACATCTACATTGCTGTATCACAAAGAGTTAAACTAAGAGTTAAGAAAAATACTGAATTATTGTTCTCTCTAAAAAGCTCTAACAGTAACATTTTAAAGAAAATGTATTTTGTGTTATTGTTAATACAGTTTAAAATTATTTAAAATATAATTTGCTTCATCTTTATTTCATCTATTTATATCTTTATTTCTGTATGTTTTATTGTATTCATTATATATTAACAGGAATATATGCATGTAATTTATAAAGATATTGAGAGTGTGTTCAAAATTCTTTCTTATCGGGTACTCAGCCAAAAAAAGTTTGAAGACTACAGATCTGGTAGCTAGGGCTGTGCTCTAGAGAGCAAGCTTAGGAAAACACCATAGTGGAGTCCTGTGCTGTTGAATAGGGCATCAGGGCTGACTGCTGGGGTGAGAGAGGCGGGGAGAGAGGAAAGAAAGAGGAGATAGGAGGAGGCAACACAGATAAACTGCCGACCTACGTGCCTAGAAACCTGCCTGGTAAAAAACGTATTTATATTGTATTAACTTATCTAATGAGAGATAAAGCTTGCAAATTCACAGAAAAATCATAAAATTCAAGATTAGCATCTTTTTGTTTTTACAACAAGAGCATGCATGTACTTCACATAGAATAACCTAAGCAGAGTCACATGCCAAGGTCAGTAACCATACAGTCAGTCATGAGAAAAGTTGACTTTATTCATTTTATTACTTGGGTAATTCTTCCCAGAGAAGTAGCTGACAGTTTATTACTTCTTTCTTCTAGTGGATTTCTTCTAGTGGATTTCTTCTAAACTGCAAGGCTGCAATGCTGTCAATTCTGTTTGGATAAGCCAAGGTGAAAATCCAGAATCTAACTACCGTAAACTCTTTCAGAAAAGGTGTAAAATGTGCATTTGTTTGTTTGAATTTATATTAGCCACCCACCTCTATCATTGTGTGCAATCGTGTTTTTCAAACAATCGTTCTGTTTTCCAGTTAAAATGTTACTTAAAAATACCAGAACATATGTTCCTTTGAACCAGGACTGCTTGTTGCTACCAGCATTTTTCAAAGGATTGAACTTCAAAGAAATCAGGTTGTTCAGCCTTCAATATGCCTGCTCTGTTATTTAGTCCTTGAAAAATATATATACAAGTATCTTTATCAAACATTATTGATTGTATCATTTACTTATGCATAATGTTTGTGAATATTTCCATTTGTAGCTATACAGAAATATATCTAATATAAATATTAGATTTAAATGGTGTAATACTCTGCTGATAGACCTTTGTGAAAATCTTAAATACATGAAAAGATAGATTTTTTCAATATTACTATAATCTGGCTCTACTGTTAACTGTACTAAAAGTTGTGCCATTTACAATGGTAGATTCCTCATAAGTCTTCCCCATCTCTTATATTCCTTCTACTTGCCATCTCTGCTATGCATCTGTGCTGCGACCATCCATTGGGCATTATCCCAACTGGGCATTTTACAAGGCTGCTTTGAAATGTTCTCTTTTTTGTTTTCTCTTTTATGTTTACTTTGAGACCCAGGGAGAGCATGCACAGTGTTGGTGGGGGAGGGGCAGAGATAAGGGGAGAGAGAGAACCCCAAGCAGGCTCCGTGGTGCAGAGCCTGATGAGGGGCTCGTTCCCAGGAACCCCAAGCTCATGACCTGAACCAAAATCAAGAGTTGGAGGCTTAACTGACTGAGCCACCCAGGTGCCCCCTCCTTTTTCATTTAACGGCAAGAACAAACCAATTCACCTCACTTCTGACCTCATACAATACTTCTCTGATCCTTATTTTTCTCACCTTGCTTTTTACTTTTCACACCCAACTCTATAATCTTGTCTGCAATGAAAAACTATTTTACAGTGAACAATTGAAATTTTCTTAGAAGCTTTTTTTTTTCTCTAAGAAATGCCCAGCTGGTTAACAGCTTGTATCCTTGGGGAATAGTCCTTTGGCATTCAAACATCACCTAACTCAGGCATTTAAAACTTTCAGTTTATCTTAAGGACATTTTTTTTTCTCTTCCTTTTGTTTTTCACCTTATCCCGAGATCCCCTGGGCATATTCTTACTGACAGTGATCTCCATGGTCCTCTTTAGAGCCCACTCAATGTTTTAAATCTTAATCTGAGACTTCAGTATTATTATTTTTTATTGCTATTCTCACTACTCATCTTCAAATTAAAATATCTGGACTTGCATAGTTATTATTATCTTTCCAGTTATACTACCAGTTTCTTTCCCTGCTATAGCCAGATCCAAACTCCATTCCCAACTGGTAACTTTCCCCTACTCCTACAGGGCCGATACTATTTCTGCTAATGAAGGGGCTTGTCCAGTGTTCTTTCTCAAGATGTTCGGTGTAACAAGCTCCTTCCAGTTTTAGGACGAGGGTGGGACAAGAGCAATTCAATCTACATTAAAAGATTCAGCATCTTCATTCAAAAGTGTCTAGACTTTTCTCAGTGAAGTGGTAAGTAGCAGAAACAAAGCAAAGATGCTTTTGGACTCATCCCGGTGTCAATTAGATCTTCTCAAAGTTTCCACTGAAATATTCCCCTAAAGAGAGGAACTTGAGCAATACCCCTTACCACGCCCACACCTAAATCCCCATCCAGGGTGCAGCGTAAGTTCCCCACTGCAAGCCCAGGGCTTTAAGTTCTCAAGTTTTGTCTTTTCAGTCATAGTATATTCTTGCTGATTTAATATAAAAATAAAGATTAAATTACTTACCAGCAGGTAAAATTAAAGGGTGTGCATATTTATACTGTGATGTTCCCCCCCCCCCCACCACCACATATTTTGCTTTACTACCAAATTGGCAAATCATAAGAACTCATGAAATTCTGAAAGGCAAGAAAACTCTTCTTTCTAGTGAAATCTAGCAAGACATGACATTTTACTGAACTGGTTAGTTAGCAACTACCTTTTTATAGGTGAACAGAAACGAAAGGATCATCGGTATTTGTTATTGGAATGGTTGCCATGTCGGACAAAAATCCTGTTTTTACTGGTCATTATGTCCAACTCTTCAGAGTAGTGGGAAAAGTTTATGATTCTGTGAACAAGAAGAATGAGACACTCAGAAATGTGCAACTCTGCCATAACACAAGAAGCAATGAAGTAGAGAATACAAACAAAACAAAGCAGACACACACAAAAAAAGCAGTTTGCTTTGTTTTGTTTTGTTTTGTTACAAGCATTTTAGTACTCACTAGCTGTAGCCTTAAATGAAACAGTCTGTTACTAGGTCACTACCCATGAACAGTCACAAATTATATACAGTGTTAATAACTCCCCACGCTAGACTCTAGAATTAGGAGACACCTTCAGCCACTGGGTTTTATTAACTCACTATGATTTCTAATACATGACTTAGTCCTGTTGCATTAACTGTGATTACAAGGATGTTTTGCTTACAACTCAGTCATGGTCTCAAAGCTTTTTATTGCAGGAGCTAAAAATGATGTAAATACAGTTGCTGTTCTAAACAACTGAGTTAGAAGTGTCACAGGGAGAGGCCAGCTGGGCTGCTCAGGCTGGCCTCAGGATGACATTGCCTCAGTCAAGTCACATTTTCCAGGGCTCATTCCTCAGTTTTGCAAGTCCAGAAACTCAATTTTGTCAGGGTGCCCAGAGCTGATCCTACTCAATGGATGAGTTTGTGCTAACTCAGTGCACAAGAAGCCAGTGTATAACCTAGATTTGCTCATTTATAATGAGAAGGGTAACTATTAAAGGGCCCAGAAACTTATGATATGTGGCCAACACCTTCTTTTCCCTGTAGGGAAGTCTACATGGGAAGCCCACTATTATCCTTTCAGTTGAACAAACGTTTTGTTTTGTTTTTTGAGAGAGAGAGAGAGAGAGAGAGAGAGAGAGAGCAGGGGAGAGGGGCAGAGGGGGAGAGAGAGAAAGAGAGAGAAAGAGAGAATCTTAAGCTAGCTCCACGCCCAGCGCAGAGCCTGACACTGGGCTCGATCTCAGGACCATCAGATCAAGACTGATCCAAAATCAAGAGTAAGACACTCAACCAACTGAACTACCCAGGTGCCTCTCAACAAGCATTTATTAGGCATCTAAGGTATAGGTCATTTTTATCCCAAGGATGTTTTGCATATATAAATAAATGGTTAATTGGAATTAAGCCAGCAAGTGGAAATTTGTGCCAATTTAAAACTTGCTCAATCTTCTACAGTTCTGTCTTGATTGGCAGATTCAGGCTTAGGAGAGACTAAGGTCTATCTACATGATGGGATTAGCCACAAAGATCATCCAACAGCCACGTTTACAAAGCCATCTTCTAAATATGGTTCTTAACCTAGAGCTTCAAAGGAATCTAATAGCCCACGGAACAAGTATGCAAACAACTGTACTAAATGCACTTGTGTTCTTTACTTCTAGATTCTCATATCAGGAAAAACTTGGTATCTTCTAAACTTCTAAAACTTAGAAACTTCCAGAGCCAACCTGGGCAATCGGGACTATCAATACCACCTGCTGATCAATATTAGGGCATTTCTAGAGTGAATTCTTCCTGAATTTTACAGCCACTTTAACCTGATATCCTCCTTGCTACAGGCCCAGCTATAATGTATCCTGGTCACCTAGATTTGCCCATGCATTTTTCCTGCAAAACTTTTCTAGTTTACCTTCTGTAATTCCAATTGGGGTAGAGGGGAGAACCAGACCATTATTCCTTTATCCTTCTGAAGAACTGTTCTTCTGATCCAAAGAGCCATTTGCTATACTTCCTTCTATCTTTCCTCTTGCTGTCATTTAGCAACCTCCCACTCAACCACCAACCTCCACTTCATACATTGTTCATTATTTTTCTCTCTGCTCCAAATATGTTCATGATCCTCCATGATGTCGATGTCCACATGAATTACTCTTTCAACTTCTTAGCCTCTCTTCTTTGGTGACCTTCACCTCCACTCCACTTTATCCCTCCTTTTCAATGTCCTGTCCCTAGGCATTATCACTACCCACAACTGCTCCACACCTACAACAACACATTCAGATATTCCACAACCAGGACACGCAACCTTCATCCTTCCATTTCCATCATTCAGTTGCTCCCTGCTCATGCTCTCATACAATATCCAAACCCTTGACCCTTCCATGTTCTCCTTCTCTGATAGCCCTCTTCTGTATTTCCCACCCTATCCATTTGAAATCCCATGGTGCATCTCTTTGTGTTTAGCCTCACATCCCTTGTTCTGTAGTCCTTCAGTCCAAAACTCCAACCCTGGATCAATCCAGCTGTCTGATTTTTTTCTACACCCATATTTTGATGGCTAAATCTTACTATAGAAAGTCATTGTGCAGATTGGTGGTGCTACAAATTCACAGTCTCCAACTTCAATTGAACACTGGGTATTTCTTGCCAAATGTGGTTATTGCTCTTATTCTCCGGAGTGGTTCAAGCCTTCTCACTGTCTTCTGTCTCAGACTTTGACATCTCCTCCCTCCTTATCTTCCCTAATGTTTTCTGTCCCAGAGAAAAAGGAAGCATCATGGGGTGCCTGGGTGGCTCAGTCGGTTAACTGTTGAACTCTTGATTTCAGCTCAGGTCATGATCTCACAGTCGTGAAACTGAGCCTTGAAATTGGGCTCCACACTGGGCACGGAGCCTGCTTAAAATTCTCTCTCTCCCTCTCCCTCTTCCCCTCCCCTGCTTGTGCTCTTTCTCTCTCAAAAGAAAGAGAAAAGAAAAGAAAGAAGAAGAAAAGAGAAGAAAAGGGAGGAAAGGAAAGGAGATGAGAGGAGAGGAAAGGGAAAGGGAAAGGGAAAGGAAAGGAAAAGAAAAGAAAAGAAAAGAAAAGAAAAGAAAAGAAAAGAAAAGAAAAGAAAAGAAAAGAAAAAAGAAAAGACAAGACAAAGGAAGCATCAGATGGGGAACTACCCTCAGCTTCCCACTACTAAGCCAACAAATTTACATGTCACCACATACATCCTTTTCTTTGCCCTTCAGTTACCGTGCAATAGATTCCCTCATCTTATTTAAGGCTGGTATACCAGCCTCTGGTAGTGCTGTGTGTGCTTCCCCTTTTGACCCTGGAGGAACTGCACTCCATCTGTTTCCCCTTTCTTCTCTGGTGTCTTTGACATTTACCTCTCTGCTATTCAATACTGTCAGTATTTAAACATGTCTGAGTCTCCAGTTACTATTTTTTCTTCCCCATTTGGCTCAAAGCAACTTTTTTTTTTTAAAGAAAATATCTTTTAGTTCTGAGTTATTTAATTACTTCACTTGTCAGGACTTGTATGCTTATCTATAGCAAATCTCTAGTGTTTTCAACAGACCATTTTAAATGCTGCAAACTTGCTTACCTGGAAAATGATTAGGACTTAAAACTCAAGTATTATACAAGTTTTTATTATTGTAAATTATGAAATATACAACAGCACATGATTAATGAATAATTATAAAACAAATACCCATTTAACCATCATTCAGGTGAGGAAATACCCCAACCTATGCATCCCTTCTAGATACTTTCTCACACTTCTACAGGTGACCACCAATCTGAATTTTATGGTAACAGTTTCCCAGCTTTTCCTTATAAAGTTTAACTCTTTCTTTGCCTGCTCAGGCCCACTCTTCTCACTTCTCCACCCTGCTCTATATACAGGGAAGCTAGCTTGTATGAACTGTATCAACAAGCTCCATTGGCCTCTGGCTTCCACTTGCATTTATCAACAGGGAGATCAGATGGAGTGGAATGAAATAGGATATTTTCCTCCCCTGCCTCCTCTCCTGGAGAGTCTCCCCAAGGGCTAGCTGGGTTGGTTTTATTACTAACTGTGTTCACCAGGGTTAGGCAGAGAAACAGAATCAACATGGGGTGTGTGTGTGTGTGTGTTTATATATATAATAGTGTTATACATCCTGAACTGACATAAATGTCATATATATATATGTATGTATATATGACATACATATATATGAGGGAGAAGGAGAGAGAGAGAGAGAGATTTACTTTAAAGAATTGGCCCATACAATTGTGGAGGTTTGGTGAATCAAAAATCTGTGTGGTAGGTCAGCAGGCTGGAGACCTGGGGAAGAGTTGCAGTTCAAGCCCAAAGACTGCTGGCAGAATTCCTTCTTGCTTGAGGGAAGTCAGTCTGTTCTGTTAAGGCCTTCAATTGATTGGACGAGGCCTACCCATATTATGGAGGTAATCTGCTTTACTCAAAATGCACTTATATAAATGTTAATCTAGAATGAATAAGTCACGGGAGTAAAAGGCACAGCGTAGGGAATATAGTCAATGATATTATAATTGTGTTGTATGGTGACGGATGGTAACTACACTTGTGGTGAACATAACAAAACATAGAGAAGATGAATCACTATGCTGTACACCTGAAACTAATGTAACATTGTGTGTCAACTGTACTAAAAAATGTGTTTAATAAATGTTAATTACATATTTTAAAACACCTTCACAGAAATCTAGAATAAGTTTGACAAATGTCTGGACACCATGGCCCAGTCCAGTTGGTATACAAAATTAAACATCACAACAACCAAAGGTCATTGTTCCTGTGAAACTTAACTCTTCATGCAACTCTCTCCCTCTGCGTTCAATCTGCTTACCCCTTGCCATCTAAGGATAGTTATGTCTCCTGCTCTTATTGGACTAGGACACTGTACCATTCCTTATAGCTTTTCCCAAACCCTTCCCACACCTTTTATTAAACAATCTTCACTTGCCTAGCTTGAGAATATCAATACACTACCCAAGTGTGTAATCCTAGAAAATAGAGTTTCCTGCTTTAGAACTTGATGGTGTGTATATTCTGTTGTGTCATGCTTCCTTTGTTCAATGGTATTTACAGAAGTTTCACCCATATTGTTACATATGACAACAGTTCATTTATTTTCAGTACTGTATAGAGTTCGAATACATGAATGTATCAGTATATATCCATTGTAGGGTTAATGAATTTATGCATTGTTTCCAGTTTGGGGCTATCACAAACAATACTGCTATGACTATTCTTTACATATGTCTCTTTCCCTGTCCCTCTGCCCCTCCTCCCCCCATGCACCTGCATATGCTCCCACTCTCTCAAAAACTAAAAAAATAATAAAAATAAAAGTAAGTCCTTTAAGTTCTTTTTTTTTAAATTTTTTTTAACGTTTATTTATTTTTTGAGACAGAGAGAGACAGAGCATGAACAGGGGAGGGGCAGAGAGAGAGGGAGACACAGAATCTGAAACAGGCTCCAGGCTCTGAGCTGTCAGCACAGAGCCCGACACGGGGCTTGAACTCACGGACCGTGAGATCATGACCTGAGCTGAAGTCCGACGCTTAACCGACCAAGCCACCCAGGCGCCCCTAAGTTCTTTAAAACCTTTTAAGGTCAGCTGGTAATAATGTTTGTGAAGTAAATTTCTCTAATATAATTTCACAAAGGAAAATTAATTTCTGCTTTAAACAGGCTATGTTTCCACTAAAATAATTTATACATTTTATAATATGGAAGCATGTAAAAATATTGCATTCAGGGGTTGCAAATGAAAAAAAAAAAGAACTGAGCAATTTAGAGAATAATGAATGCTATTTCCAAGACTAAAACATTCAGATCTCTGCCAAACTCTTTCACTTCTACAAAAGTAAGTTTTAGTAAGACTGTGTATCTCTGTGTGTGTTTCTGTGGTGTGGTGTGTTTATGTGTATCTATTGTGTGAGAGACTGTCTTGTGTCCGTGTGTCTGTGTTTCTGTGTGCATGTCTGTCTGTGCGTGTTTATGTATCTGTGGTATCTTGGGGCCAGGATAGAGAAGGTGGGATTTTAGTGGTATAAAAGAAAGGAAGGAATCCATTTCTGTTGGAACCCATCTTCCATTGGATAAGAAAAGAATAAAATACATTTATTTTTATTACCAAAAAACCCTTGACAATAGGTGAAATAATTGAATAATTTTATGTCTGTAAGTTTTAGACATTTTAATAAAACTTTATCACAAAAGAAGTCCATGTCCATTGTTGTATAAGTTTCACATAAACACATCTGGCCACCCATTGATAACCACTTTATATCCTTCCAGATATTTTGATGTATATATACATACATATTTTTGCAAAATGGGATTACTGTCAATAAACCTTTTCTTAGCAATATGACATGAAGTCAACAAATACTTGTTAATTCTATTCCTAAACCATAGCAGAGTACAGGATATATGGAAAAAATTAAGAAAATATCTGTTAAATAAATGGATGAATCCTTTATGGTTGTCTTTGGTAATATTTTTCCCGTTGGCATGTTTATATATTTATGAATTCCATAAGAAGTGAGGATTTTAGGCCTTTGTTTTTTATGTAACAAATGCTGTTTCCCCCTATTTACACTTAATTTTAATTTTCCTCTTCCAAAAGAATAGAAAGTAACATTTGAACATATAGCTTAATCTCACTGAATAAAAAAGTCACCTGATTTAAATCAAATGGGGCTTCACTGCAACTTTTAAAGAAATAAATGAAGCAAATGCAACAGATGAGAGCAAAGTGCTGACTGCTCCTCACTAGAGGTTCTGCTCTATTTAAATAAAGATATGGGAGTGATTTGTAGATAGTAGTGCAGAATATGCCAAAAACCAGTACATTTTTGAGTCAGAATGTCTTGGTTCTTATCCCACTTGTGCCCTTCAGCAGCTGGGTGATAAGGGAAAAATCACTTAATGCCTCTAAGTATCTGTAAGCAAATGGTCTCTAAGTAGTATTCCATCCCTTAAAGATTACTTCCAGAATAGATACTTATTCTTAAATATGAAACAAAATATATCTAAACCCCCAAATCAGGCTCAGTTCCTCTGCCATAAATTTGATGGTAACATGAGAATATATATATGTATATTATCCTGTTTTATTTTTGCCATAATTATTTTTAAATACCTGGGTTTTTTGAGTTATGTTTAATACTTCTTGCAGAGAAGGTTTTGTTTTGTTTTGTTTTGTTTTTCTCTCTGTTGGCAGAGTTGGTAGAGAGTCAACTCTGTGGACTAAAAGCAAGTATTTTGTGTTCTTAATTTCTCCCTTGAGAGAATCTTGGTATCAGGAAATGGAACTATTAGT